GGTTCCCCCCCCCCCCCCCAAAGACTGCCTTGAAATGAACGTGCCTTCACTTGATACAACAGACTCTACTTTATCCTTGGTGTTAAACAGCTAAGGTTAATTCGAACAGACTAGCCAATAAATGATTAAATATTTAAGTGCACTGTGTAATTTTTTTTTTATGTTATAAAATGTTCTGTCTCAGTTTAATGTTCAAAGACAGCTATGTGTAAGCCATTTGTGGGTTTTCTGAGGCTCTGGTGCTTTAACCCTTTAACTGTCACCGTCCCACCTGTGGGACGTTTGGCGCTCTTTTTTATTGTTGTCTTTTTTCTCTATCAAATCTTTTAGTAATCATCATAAATCATATATCATTTGAAAGCTTAGAAGCCCAAGATTCATCATGTGAACATCATTTCAAAATCAGACATTGTGTTACCATGGAAATGGTACTTTAAAATCTTTTGGCGGTCTCCTCCCCCTTAGTGGGCAGTGTCAAGTGTCATATTACAAAATGAATTACGGTCTTTTAGAATCAAAACTTTTTATAATCTTGACAAAAAACATATCATTGGAAAGGTCTGAGTCTCAGGATTCCATATTTGGTGGTTATTTTGAGATATTGACAGAGAAATCTAGACATTTGTGACAGAAAAATGCATTAAAAAATTCAATGGCATTTGGATGGCACCCGGTGGCTGTTTGTGGTATAATGCCCTAAATAAAATCTCACAGGAACCTCAATTTTTTTCATATCAACCTCAAATTTGGAACATAACTTATTTAGACATAAGGCTATAATTCAGTGAAGTGACATATTTCCAGCTGAAACTGAATATTGAGGAGAGGGTGTGGTTTTATTTTTGCACTCCTCCTCTCATCTCTCACTCATAGCAAACTAACGGTTGGAGGGGTGTGTTTAAGGATATTCTGCCCAAGCCGTCAAACTGACGTCATCAGAGAAGGAATGCAATTCCAGAGCGGAAGTAAATGGTCAGATTTTGATTAAAGATTACCAAGACAAACAATTTTTTTCAGCGGATTAACTTGCACGGATTAATTGTTCACATCAAGACTAGCAATGTAAATAAAGTCCATTCTGATTTCATGCGGCCTTTAAAAATTTGCTTTTTTTTCCAGCTTTTGGCTTAACCAATGATGTGAGTTAGGGTTAGACATATTTGGGCAACCACATGCTGACTGGTTTTGTTTTTTTTCCATGTCATCTTTGCGTGTAAAAAAATTGGGCTAATGTGAATTAGCCAACTGTTATGAAACAGAAAATAAGATTTGACTCTGAGAGGGTGCTGTAGCTTCTTTAATAATTAATGTGGTGAGATTTTGTTTTTTACTCTAAGTCATGCTTTACTTTATATGTCTAGCAAAGCTTTGAGTGTCTAGAGAACATAGTCTGTGTGTTTACACTGGAAATAGTTATATTATGAATGATGGAAAAAAAGATCTGTTGTATCTTTAAAGGTTTTTGAAATGACACCTCTCCTCACACTTTGTCCCTTGAGTGTTCATTGACAATGTGGACACCGCTGAGTTATATATATATATATATATATATATATATATATATATATATATATATATATATATTTATCGCTCTCTTTTTATCTAGTTTCAACATCCAAATGACTTCTCCCCTCCATTCCGCTTTGGTACTGTGCCCAATGGCAGCACAGAGAGAAACATAAGGAACAACTACAAAGAGATGCACTCCTATATGACCAGCTTCCACCAGAAGAACGTAAACGAGGCCCTCCACAGCCTGAAGTCGGGGTGAGAACAAAAAGAGAGAAAGATTATATCTGCATGAAAAGAATATAAAGGGTGGGAAGACAGGGAGATGAAAAGCTTGTAGGACAGCAGTAACTACAGTGTGTGAATAAGTGGGTAGGTGGATGAACTCTGGATTGACAATAGCATCAAAATGAGGCATCCTGAAGGGACTTTGTTTAAAGATGCTGATTGGTAAAGACTGGTTTTATTTTACTGTCCTTTACTTTATCAGGACTAATAGGTGCACTCAGTAATTTTTTTGTTCATATTGTGCTGGTTGATATGACTGTCATGTTGGACTAACTGAAACTTTTACCAGGTTTTTAGCTGGTCATGTAGTCTCAACATGGCAGCTCATTGGATGCAACCTACTTTATGTAAAAGATGTAAAAGCTACATAAAAGCATTTATTAGGAGTCTTCATTCCATGTGAGCATACATCATTTTAAACATTTTTTTTAAAACTGCTATTCATTTTTTATGTTTAAAACATTTTAATGAAGGAAAATTAACTGAGTACACTTTGAACCAACCCCCCCTTCATGAATCGAATTTAAAACTACAGATTTATTGGTAACACTTTACAATACAGTTCCATTTGTTAACATTAGTTAACTACATTAGATAACATGAACTAACAATGAAAAATAATTCAGAAGCATCTTAGTTACTTTTAATTTCAACATTCACTAATACTAATATATACAAAAAAATATTAAAATCAAAAGTTGCAGCTATCTGTTTATATTATTTAATGAACCTAAGCTAGCATGAACTACCAATGAACAGTTGTATTTATTAACTAACACTAACAAATATTAAAGGGTTACTCCACCCCAAAATGAAACTTTTGTCATTAATCACTTACCCCCATGTCATGTCAAACCCGTAAAAGCTTAATTCGTCTTCGGAACACAATTTAAGATATTTTGGATGAAAACCGGGAGGCTTGTGACTGTCCCATTGACTGCCAAGTAAATTACACTGTCGAGGTCCAGAAAAGTATGAAAGACATCGTCAAAATAGTCCATCTGCCATCAGTGGTTCAATCTGAATTTCACGAAGCGATGATAATACTTTTTGTACACAAAGAAAACAAAAATAATGACTTTATTCAACAATTCGTCTCATCCACGTCACCATAGCGCCATTTTGGAGAATATCCACTGAACGCAAATGGCGTATGCTGTTCTGTGTCAGCCGCACCACACGGCTTTCATCCAAAATATCTTAAATTGTGTTCCGAAGACGAACTAAGCTTTTACAGGTTTGGAACGACATGGGGGTAAGTGATTAATGACAACATTTTCATTTTGGGGTGGAGTAACCCTTTCATGAATATTGTAACAAATGCATTGCTTGTTTAATGCTTATGTAATGCTTTAACATTAACTAATGAGACCTTATAATAAAGTGGGTTTTTTTTTTTTTACTACAGACATATCTTGCAGTAAGTCATAGTTTTTAAGCATTTTTAAATACCTTTTTGACTTCTCAAGTTGGTTTTAAATGGTCTATCAGTTTGACAAATTAATTTTTAAAAGTACAAATTCCATGTAGTCTCATATGGGGGTAAGTGATTAATGACAACATTTTCATTTTGGGGTGGAGTAACCCTTTCATGAATATTGTAACAAATGCATTGCTTGTTTAATGCTTATGTAATGCTTTAACATTAACTAATGAGACCTTATAATAAAGTGGGGTTTTTTTTTTACTACAGACATATCTTGCAGTAAGTCATAGTTTTTAAGCATTTTTAAATACCTTTTTGACTTCTCAAGTTGGTTTTAAATGGTCTATCAGTTTGACAAATTAATTTTTAAAAGTACAAATTCCATGTAGTCTCTAACTTAAGATGAGCTCATAAAAGATGCATAATAATTAGATACAAGTCAGATACAATCAGTTTTAGGTATAGTTTAGGACACCACACTATATCTTAACATTGAACTTTGTCCTAAAGTGCTGGCGGTTTACCTGAAGTTACCCCTCATTTCCAACACACAGTTCCCAGGAAATATGTTTTCTTTTTCTTGTTTTTTTAACAATACCATTTAGCTGTTTATTTGTTGCTGACCAGAAAAAAAGTAACACAGATGTGTTTGGCACAGGTTAATTATCAGTAACTTAACCTAAAACCATAAGAAATGTCATTACTTCAAATGAAATAAGCATTAAGTGAAATAAATATAAAAGAACAAAAACTTACTTGATTACAGCTAGTTGCCAAAGCAAAATCACTCGTTGTTTACAGTTGAAAGACTAAAATAACTAAATAAACTAAATCTTAACAAAAACTAAAAAAAAAAAACTAAAACTAATAAAAGTGACAAAAAAACAAAATTACTAAAACATGAAAAAATGAAAGCTGTAAATATAAAACAAAAATTCTAAATAATGACAAAATGTATATTAAGTATATCAGTGATACTAAAATAACACTGGTTTGCCAGTGTTTAATGTTTGCCAAGGCCTTACCAACATTCTAACATATGACTCCTCTCCCTCCCCGTGTAGTAAATTGGATGCATTCATCTACGATGCAGCGGTCTTGAACTACATGGCCGGACGTGATGAAGGCTGTAAACTGGTGACCATCGGCAGTGGTTATATCTTTGCTACTACAGGGTATGGCATTGCCATTCAGAAAGACTCAGGCTGGAAGAGGGCAGTGGACCTCGCCATTCTGCAGCTCTTTGGAGATGGTAAAGACTGATTTTAAAAAAAAAGTAATTTATGATGAATTAGCCACCAGTCTTAATCTGCATTAATTAGTTCAAGATAAAAGATATTTAGGGGAAATTCACAATGAATCTGCGTTGTCTACATTGTTTTAGCATCTGATTCACTAAAAAAATTCTGCGAGTTTCGTGACCGCACAGACACGCCCAAAAATTCAACTGAGCGAATTGCATGATGCAAGGTTATAAAAGATAGCAGACAGCGCCTGGTTAAAATGGATTATGGGTGGTTAATGAGTAAGACGTTTTTTCCGATTAAATCCTGTTTACAAAAGTGGCGCGGATGTGTAGAGAATTCACAGCTTGAGATGTTTACTTCATTCACTTCTTCTTTAAATGATTCTCAATGTGCCCTCAAGGCAAACAGTTTTGAAGAATACCTGGCAAGAGATGACAAGTGTCGACACTGTCTGTTAGAACGCCAACAATTATGCCACAAAATTGTAACGATAGATGTGTGAAAATATGGCATCATTTTTTTCTCCAAGCTTCCTTTGTGGGAGATTCACATTCTGTTAAAGCATAATAAAGCTAATATTGAATTAACGTACTCATCAAATCAAGGACTCGTCTCATAATATGCTTTGTAATAATATAAATTACTATAGGTTACACAGGTGATGCAAAAGTAAAGCTAAAGGTGTTTTAAGTTCTCTTTCATATTAGTCTGTTTGCACAATGGATATGACGTTCATGATTATTATATAAAATACAGTATATAGTTGCATTAAATATGGAGGGGGAAATGTGTAAATAAGCAATGTACAAATTTAAGTTGTCGATGGGAATATGAGATTTGCCAATGTGAAGCAAATTTACTGTAGCAATTATATAAATGTATATATAAAAAACTAATACTTTTATTCAGCAAGGATGCATTAAATTGATCAGATGTAACAGTAAAGACCTTTATGATGTTACAAAAGATTTATATTTCAAATAAATGCTGTCCTTTGAACTTTCTATTCATCAACGAATCCTGAAAAAATGATCACGGCTTCCACAAAAATATTAAGCAGCACAACTGTTTTCAACATTTATAATTATAAGAAATGTTTTTTGAGCAGCAAGTCTGCATATTATATTCTGAAGGATCATGTGACACTGAAGACTGGAGTAATGATGTTGAAAATTCAGTTTTACCTTCACAGGAATCAATTACATTTTAAAATGTGTATAAGTAAATTTGTATTTGTAATTAGTATACAATATATAAAGAATACTAATTGTAATACTAATACTAATACTAATGTACTAAGTAACTATAATAGCTGTACTGTACCAGCAATAGATGTATAGCATTGAAAAGTGTTTATCTCCACATCTCTAATTCAGTTTGATTCGAGTGCTTTCCTAGTGATCCAGATCCAGGGGCCATTTCTAGAAATCATCCTCTCTTCCCCAAACTGCATCCGAGATGACAAGCTGTTTGGAACACATCCAAAGACACATGCAGAACATGCCCTATGCACCCATACACGCATAAACAGTGTTAATAATTTTAGACACTTAAGATGGCATTTTGTAAGGAGATCTTATAGATACTGTATATGGGCACAGTCATAGAAAATTCTATCAGATTGGCTTGTAGACATATTTATATAATATATGCCCTACTTAATGATTCCTCATGCATGCATGGTATGTCATGCAAGCGGGACACATTAGATTAGATCAGTGGCAAGGTGAGTGTTCATATGCATATTGACAAGCAGGCAGTGCACCTTGGTTCAACACACTGATAGCAGTATGGAATCAGAAAGGTACGGTTGGGTGTATCACATGGAATATAATCCAGCATATGATCCAGTAGCAATTAGCAAGAATATAGTCATATTTGCAAGTGTCAAGGAAGCGCTTGTGTTATCTGAAAAGTACACTGGGAAGGCATCAACTGTGTGACATATACATGTAGGTACACATGAATCCACCGGCACAGCATGTGAACACACGCACGCACATTCACCCTCACATAGGTGTTGGGTTTTTGACTGATTTGAAAGCTAAAGTCACTGACTACCGTTCCTAGTGTGGCATAGAACTGCAGCCACTGAATGGATGGATCCTTTTGCATGTGTGTTTTTTTGTGTGTGAATTATTGAGTATGAGAAGAAGTATATTTGTGTGTATCTGCATTTGTCCCTAAAGACAGACCTGCAGAACACCTAATGGTGTTTTGGAGTTTGATCCTGTCCGTCCTATGTGGGCTGTCAGGCCCCTTAGGGCCCTTATTAGAGCTGGGAACCAAATCTCAAGTGACTCCCATAAGCAATCATTAATGAGACGAGAGCTGCAGTGTGTATGAGTTGGATTAATCCGTCATGACAAATGTTACACTTCACAGGGGCTGTAATTTGTTTACTGTGCACAGTTTTGTGGGGGCTCTAAATAAATTCAGTGCTGAAACGCATTGAAATCGTCAGGGATAGACAAACGTGAACAGACACGTCAGCTAACAGTAAAGCTCAAGAGCACTCGAAGCCCACAGACACACAAAACACACAGCTGGAGAGGCAGAAAGTAAAAATTCAAAGATGCACAAACAATCACTCTTTTTCTAACCCACATTCAAATGCTAGAAAGTGCAATCTTTTTTTGTCCTCCTTTGTAGGTGAGATGGAGGAATTCGAGGCCCTGTGGCTGACTGGCATCTGCCACAATGAGAAAAATGAGGTGATGAGCAGTCAGCTGGATGTAGACAACATGGCAGGTGTGTTCTACATGCTGGGAGCTGCAATGGCCCTGTCCCTAATCACATTCATCGCAGAGCACCTCTTCTACTGGCAACTGCGATTCTGCTTCATGGGTGTGTGCTCAGGCAAGCCCGGCTTCACCTTCTCCATCAGCAGGGTGAGTGGAAGGTTCACTTTTGATCTGAAGCAAACAAACACCAAGGATAATTTTACTATTATTCTGGAGCCAACGGCCTATCGAGTTTGTGAAGCTTTGGAGATTAGGAGCGCAGATAAGAGATATATTATACTGCTAATCAATTTCTTCATTGTAATCTGTCTTGTTTTCCAGTCAAAATTTCTTTCCTATAATTAAATTTGTGATGAAAGTAGTGACAGATCTTGTTTCTGGACTGTGACGTACATCCAAGTGTAACAGATTATCCCCCCCAAAAAAGTAACAGTGTAGGCAGGGACTTCATTCTACACTGAACAAAATTATAAACGCAACACTTTTGTTTTTGCCCCCATTTTTCATGAGTTGAACTCAAAGATCTAAGACTTTTTCTATGTACACAAAAGGCCTATATCTCTCAAATCTGTCTAAATCTGTGTTAGTGAACACTTCTCCTTTGCCGAGATAATCCATCCACCTCACAGGTGTGGCATATCAAGATGCTGATTAGACAGCATGATTATTGCACAGGTGTGCCTTAGGCTGGCCACAATAAAAGGCCACTCTAAAATGTGCAGTTTTATCACACAGCACAATGCCACAGATGTCGCAAGTTTTGAGGGAGCGTGCAATTGGCATGCTGACTGCAGGAATGTCCACCAGAGCTGTTGCCCGTGAATTGAATGTTAATTTCTCTACCATAAGCCGTCTCCAAAGGTGTTTCAGGGAATTTGGCAGTACATCCAACCGGCCTCACAACCGCAGACCACGTGTAACCACACCAGCCCAGGACCTCCATATCCAGCATCTTCACCTACAAGATCATCTGAGACCAGCCAACCGGAGAGCTGCTGCAATAATCGGTTTGCATAACCAAAGAATTTCTGCACAAACTGTCAGAAACCGTCTCAGGGAAGCTCATCTGCATGCTTGTCGTCCTCATCAGAGTCTCGACCTGACTGCAGTTCGTCGTCGTAACCGACTTGAGTGGGCAAATGCTCACATTCGATGGCGTCTGGCACTTTGGAGAGGTGTTCTCTTCACGGATGAATCCCAGTTTTCACTGTACAGGGCAGATGACAGACAGCGTGTATGGCGTCGTGTGGGTGAGCGTCGTGTGGGTCAGCTCATGAAAAATGGGGGCAAAAACAAAAGTGTTGCGTTTATAATTTTGTTCAGTATATGTATCGTTATTTGATTGGATTTCGAGATGTGGGAGTTGCACACAAAAGTAGCAGCAGATGAACTTGAGCTTGCAGGGAGTGGGGTTTAAGCAGTCTAAATTATTGGAGAAGTCCTACATATGACATTTTGAATAAAGATTACAAGGTCAAAAGTCATCATAAGCAAGTATGAATTGTTCACAATAAGATCTATTAACATACATTTAGAATATATTTCATTTCATGGCAAATTTAAAACAAGATAAATTTGAAATGTCAAAAAATATAACTTAAATGTAAATATATATTATCTGTCATCTGCAGATAACTAAAATTACTTTTTAAAATAAAATGTGCAGTGTATAAGCGTTTTCTTCATATTATAATTATTATGTCAACATTGATTTTTATGCTGATAAAGCCACAACAGATTTACTTATTTATTTTGGTACATATTTATTTTTGTACATTTAAGCCATTCTGTTTCTTTCGTTCTGATGTGTGTGGGGGAAACGTCAATGCCCATTTTGCACATATGCAACATTACTGTATAAATCAGACCCCTGATCTTGAGCTAACAGGGCAAAGCAACAGTCTCATTCTAGACATTTGGACATCAAATAATGCCTCAAGCGATTTGGAGTGGTGCCATGACCCACATAAGGGCGGGAATGAACACAGAAAGAGTAAATATCAGTTTATGTGACCAAACTGGCAAGTGACTCAAACATAAACCTGGGTTTACCTGAGTTCACAAATTATTGAGGCTAAAAGGATAAATGATTGCCACAAGGGCAATTTGTATGACCAGTTTCCTTAGCTACAAGTAAAACGATTTTCTTCCTAGATATATTTCCCTTTGAGATGTAGATGCGTGTTTGAACACTAGCTGTGTGGAGGTAAGAAGAATCTAAAATGAATGTGGTGGTGGGGGGGGGGCAACATACAAAATGGAAGGGAAAGGCACCTCTCAGGAGAAAGAAGGAAAGAGAAAGAGAAATGAGATAACACTGAATGGAGAATATGTCCCAACCCAATCGGATTGAAGGGTCAGGAGATGAATGAGAATAAGAGTCACAGTGGGAAGGATGACCTGAAAAAAAGTCAGAAGGTAGAGAAGATAAGAGGAACATAAAGAGAGGAGGGAAAAAATACACAAGAGTGGACAGACACCAAGCATGACTAAGAGCAAGACAGGAAACATTTTTGACATGTTGCCTCACTAGAGGGATGGACCGCCAGTAGAAGAGTAACCTTTAGCCTTTGAAATGTTTTGAAGAGAGTTCTATTTGTTCTACATATTTTTCATGTATTGTTTGTTATGAAATGGTGTTCGTGGTTTATAAATAAATAAATAGACATTCCATTATAGTTCATCACAAGCACCCAGCAGTTTAAAAGATATTGAAGTATTTTGACTTCAAGCCAGTTTTACAATACCACATTTGCCATTAAGAAATTAGTTTGATAAAATACAACCTAAACTAAACAGATAAATGGATTAAAATGCAGTAAATCTGCATCACTAGTGAATGAGCTGGAGAGGTTTATTAGAATATTGTGTAATTAATTTGTCAAGGAAGTTATGAAGGAGAGACACAGAGGAGTAGACACAGTGGTGTCAGCTGAATTTTAATCCCATTGATTAAAGACATTGATAGGCAGTCAAAACCAGAGTTACTGCAACCCTGTCATCATTAATCAGAACTTCTATCGCCCCTGCCGTTTCCCTTTCTTGAACATACTTTGTTCTATTTTCCTCTCTCCTTTCATCCCTTTCTGTTTCCCTCATTTTCCTTTCTCTGCTCTTGTACACATAATGTCAAAAGTTTAAAGACAATGATAAAAAACTTTTTTTTTTACACGTGATAAATATGAAATCCCTAGAAATGTTTTTTAAAATTTAGAATTGTCCTCTAGCATACTTTATAAAACTAATCTAAAGCATATAGAAGACTGTCAGAATTACAAAATAATTTTAAAACATAAAAACTAAGTGATTTGACTTGAAGGGACTTGACAAAAGGCTAAGCCTTGCGACTTGACATGAACTTAGCATCAGAATTTTAAAAATATTTGCTGCTAATTAAACTTTTCATTAAACAATAGTCTAATCCCACTTTGTTTGTTCTTTCTCCTTTCCTTTGTTTTTGCTTTCCCTCATTTTATCTGTCCAACAGGGCATCTACAGTTGCATCCATGGTGTTCAGATTGAAGAGAACAAATCAGCCCTTAACTCACCATCGGCCACTATGAACATGAGCATGAACAACACCCACTCCAACATTCTCCGTTTGTTGCGTACTGCCAAAAACATGACCTCTGTGCCTGGGGTCAATGGTTCACCTCGCAGTGCATTGGACTACAGCCATCGTGAGTCAGCCGTTTATGACATCAGTGAACACCGGCGCAGCCTAGTAGGCCACACAGACTGCAAGCCTCCACCGTACCTGCCAGAGGATAACATGTTCAGCGACTATGTAAGCGAAGTGGAGAGGACTTTTGGGAATTTGCACCTGAAGGACAGCAACCTGTACCAGGATCATTACCTACACCACCATGGGGGCACGGGATCCGAACTGGCTCTCGGTATGTCGGGTCCCCTGCCTAACCGACCTCATAGCTTAGGGAGTGCCAGTTCATTGGAGGGTGGGTATGATTGTGACAGCTTAGGGGGAGGGGTAGCGCCCATCTTCACCACCCAGCCACGGCAGTCGCTGACACATCGGAACAGTGAAAAGTTTGACCTGATCGCGGGTCACCCAACCCAGTCAAGCTTCAAGTCTGGCCTGCCTGATCTATATGGAAAGTTCTCCTTCAAGGGTGGGGCATCCAGTTCAGGGTTTATTGCAGGACATGACAGGTACTGCGGGGGAGGTGGGGTGGGATCAGGAGGGGATGATGGAAACATTCGATCCGACGTGTCCGATATTTCCACTCACACCGTGACCTATGGGAACCTCGAAGGACATGGCAAACGGCGCAAACAGTACAGGGACAGCTTAAAAAAGAGACCCGCTTCTGCCAAGTCTCGCCGTGAGCAGGATGAGATTGAGCTTGGCTTCAGGAGACGACCCCACCATACAATCCATCATCATCATCACCACCATCATTCAGCAACACAAGCCCACCGCTCAGCCACCCCACCCGTGGAGCGCAAGAGCCAGAGAGGTGGTAACTGCACCTCTTATCTATTCAGAGACAAAGAGAATTTGAGGGACTTCTATGTGGACCAGTTTCGAACCAAGGAAGAGGCATCCCCATGGGAGCATTTGGATTTAAGTGATGCTCCAGGAATGGGTGGAGGAGTGGGACTGGGCGGAGGCAGTTGCAGTGGAGTAGTTAGTAGCGGTGGTGCTGGGGGAGCGTGCACTAGTTTGGTTCCCATGGAAGATTTCCTGAAAGGTAAATCCAAGAAGACAGAATGTAAGGGTGGAATGGGAGGAGGATCACCTGGGCAACAGGGCCATGCATGCTGGGAAAAGGGCATCGGAGGGGTGGGAGGGTTGGCCGGAGGGGATTGGGAATGTCGCAATTGCCACAGTGGAGGGGTTGGAAGTGGAGGAAGCAAGCCAGTTTGCATGCATGGGGGAGGCGGGGTTGGGGGAGTAGGGGGAACCAGTGGAGGGAGTGGACAAATCTCAAGCCGCCCTAGTTCAGCCACCTGCAAGCGGTGTGATTCGTGCAAGAAACCGGGCAACTTGTATGACATCAGTGAGGACAACCACCTCCTTCTCTTGGATCAAACTGGGGGCAAGCACCCTCTGGAGAGTGGAAAGGGAGGGGGAGGGGGAGGCACAGGGGCCCAAACCCAGGTACAGAGGCGGAAATTTGGCCCAGGTGGTAAGGTTTTGCGCAGGCAGCATTCTTATGACACATTTGTAGAGCTGCAGAAGGAAGGGGCGGGCAGGATGGGTGGGTTTGGAGGCAGTGGCGGAGCATCAATGCTTCCTCCACCCCGAAGTGTGAGCCTAAAAGACAGAGACCGCTACATGGATGGCGCGAGCCCCTACGCACAGATGTTTGAGCAGTATGCAGGAGGGGAGCGGGAAACATCATATTTTGGGGACAGAGGGAAGGGTGGGGGTTCATCATTTAGCTTATTCCATGGGGGTGAAGGTGGGTTGCACCGTCGCTCCGTGGGTGAGAGAGACACGAGGGACAGGGATAGAGGCATGATGGGAGGAGGTGTGGGCGGTACCCGAGGGGTCGGGACTTACTCCTTGTCTAAATCTCTCTACCCAGATAAGGTGAACCAGAACCCATTCATCCCAACCTTCGGCGACGACCAGTGTCTATTACATGGCGCCAAATCATACTACATCAAAAAGCAGCAGGCACAGCCGCAGCAGCAACAGATGCCACAACAGCAGCAGCAGCAACAGCTCCTCAACAACAGTCGGGCTGACTTCCGGGGCTCCATGGGGGTGACTTCCTATTTGCCTGCCTCCGCAACTTCTGGGGTATTGTCCAATGTGGCCCCTCGGTTCCCCAAGGAGCTATGTCTGGGCGGGCCTCTTGGCAACCACCACGGTGGAGGACCTAGCAACAACAAGCTGCTGTCAGCAAGGGATGGGTTAGGAATGGGTCAAGGACAGAGACCGTTTAATGGCTCGAGCAACGGACATGTTTACGAGAAGCTTTCCAGTATAGAGTCTGATGTCTGAAGAGGGGAGTCAGAAACAGATAGAAATGCAGAAAAGAAGCCAACGGACATGCAGCATGATGATTGAGAGAAAACTGATGAAAAGGCAGTGTGTAATTAGTTCCTTCATGCTCACAAAAAGAAGAGGAAACCGTATGTGAGGAACTGACTCATGCTTTCATTAAGTTATGCGGATCATGCGCTGCCAAGCATACGTATGTAAATAGAGCGAGGGGACCTGCCCACTGTCGAAAAGTTGAGATTAGGGGGAAAAACCTGTTTATTCCTCTCTTTTATTCTCATGTTTTTGTATATCCCACTATTTTCCTGCTCCGAACATTAAAATTGCGGCCAATCCAGATGGAGACAACCAAGTACAATCCTTTGTACAATTGTGGATGGAAATCAGTTACTCTTTTTAAGCAACAGGGTAAAACTTACAATAATTGTATTGATAATGTTCTTTATAATAATATTATTATATATTATTACAATGTTTATGATGTTTAATTTGGGCTTGGTTTCTGGATGTTTTATGCTGTTATATATTTGTACTGTAGTTTCAGTTCTTAGTTAACAAACCACTTTGCGGGAGGCTTTTTTGATTTGTCAACTGAGCTTATTTGATTGTTAATTGAGTTGTAGACAAACTTGGATTCCATAAAGTTTCTTTATTATTGGTTATTCAAGTTTATTTTACCAGTATGGAGTGCTGTAAAATGTGTGTGCAAGGCATGATTTGCAAAGTACTTCAGCTGTACTTGAGATATCATTGTGAAGGAAATGTATTCTTATCACTTTATTTTATAGTGTTCCGTTTGTTAGAACAACATTGGTTTAATACACAGCACGTTATGTGCCTTACCAAGACTTACAGAACGCCTGATTTACAGGTCATATTGACATGGTAACTTTCTGGTCACTGCACACAGACTTATCATTGGCTGATTCATATTATTCTAGAAACTTCCTTTTAACATTATAAGCACTGATATGGAATAATGAGGAGACGTAAAGTAGGCTGAATGTGTTCATAGTATTAATCTTTAGAACTAGGTTCTAAAGAGAACCAGATGAATTATCATTCTTCTAGGAACGTAGGATATTTGAGGTTTGCACAACATTGTACAGTGCACAGTATCCTTCCTGAGAGTTGAGACATGGGGTGTTACATTTGTATGGTGTTACCTATAATATTGAAACCAATATCGATTAATTATTTTTTTCTTCACCTTCCCCCATTTTTGAGGAAGTCTTTGATCAAGCAGCAAAATAACAACCGAGTCATGGATTTGTTTCTTCTTAGAATGCATTTAGTACTGGATATGCTTATCTTGACTTTCCTTACTGTGCACGCCAGTGCACAGTATGTAGGTTTTTGCAAGATTCTCAGCAAATACTTGCATTTTGTCATGTAAATATTCATTTTTTTTCCACTCTGTACAGTAAATGGACAGAAAGGATGTAACTCTATGGATTCATTTTTTACCATATTGGTTGGATGATATTTTAAGAATTACGGTTAAGGTTAACAATCCAACTGTGCTGCAAAATTTATCAGATAAAAATCAATGGTATGGATAAACTAAGAATTTTTTCTATATCCTCCCTATTGTTTTTCAGACTAATACAATCCTTTACTGCACCTTTACAGCAGAAGTGAACCTTTCTAGATACATCAGTTTATGCCAGTCAGAGTGCTTTTTTTAACAACATAAAACATGATAATGATGGGAATGACTCCAGTTATTTCCCATATCCATTTGATGGTAATTTGCAGTTTTTATACCCACTTATATGAAGTAGAGGTATTTCTCAGGAATTTTAGATGGGCACAGTCAAAAAGAAACATTTCATTTAACTAAATTGCCTAATTACCTAAATCAATAAACCACTGAACTCATTTAATTGGATAAACGAGAGCCAGTTGAGGTTTGTTGTAAGTATTTAGGACTCTCTCTCGCTCTCTCTCTTTTTACATTTTATTTTTAAATTGTTTTTTAAACCAGGAATTAATTCATGGCAGGGCAGTCTGAAGACATGGTCTTTTGTTGAATTGTTGGCCCTCAGCTTAGATAAAATCCTTTACTTGAAGTTTGTTGTGTTTACTGCAGATTTAGTTTATACATTTTCTTTGTGAATGAACTGTTAGCCAAACAGATCTCCACTTTAAGCACAATATTTATAATATTTGGTTTATAATTGATGTATAGCTATCGATTTGTGAATTTTTATCTTAACTTTTTGCCACATTCTTTTTGACTCAGTTGTCTTTGTGTGAGAGTTTGTGTTTAAGACGAGCATGCATGTCTGACTTATTTATTGCCATTTCTTTAGTGTTTCATTTATGTCTATTTAGATATCGTGCCTGCTCTTTGTGGGTGCAATATGTTGATAAATTGCACATCATACAGGTTCGGGTTGTACAACAGATGTGGTGAGTTTATTGAACTGATAAGATCTTTGAAAATGGATATGTATGGAATAATAACTCATTAGGGAAATTAACAGGCAATCCCAAATTTGGGTGATTTCATTAGGAATACTGCCACTAGTTAAGCATATTTTTTAAAGACCATTCTTTTGTCCATGTAAGGCTAATTGTGTCTTTGTAACAAGATTTTTTCACTTGCTCTCACAAAACCTTTCTTTGCATGGAACCATGTTTTTAAAGTACCCTTAAGATTTTTTATGCTTGGTCAACTTTTCTCATTTTAGTTTTATTTAATAAATCCTTTAAAGATATCTCATAAGATATCTCATAACAGTGTGGCATTTCTTTAAGAGCTATAGATGTGATAACAGACTTAGACCACTGCATTTCCTGTCAGTCTCTGTGTTTCTATCAGAGAGTCGAGCTTATAGTTTTTAGTAATAGTACTATGTATAAGTAGTATTGTTTGATTGGGTGTGTGAGTGTCAGGGACAGGTGACTTTGCTCTTCCTGAAAGGCTTTCCAGTTTTATCTTTCATTTTAACTCACACTTTAAAGATGTGGCCTTGTAAAAGCACACTAATATCATTTGATAAACACAGGTTTAATGTGAGACGACATTTTCAGCAGAAGATACAAGGGAGGTGGGCGGAAAGGACAGGAAGGATAGTAGCCAGTGTTTCGTGTCATTTGTTTTATTTCCCTTCTCATTCATTATCATTTGAACTAATCTTTTTCTTGATGACTGGTAGGATAACACTGCAGTAGTTTGTCATTTTAATGCCCTCCCCAGTAAGGTGTCACATATGATTGTAGGTGTATCTGAAATCATATGCTTGATTACCTCTGTATGCGAGTGGACATGTGTGCGTGCAGGTGTCTGTGTGTGCACGTGTGTATGTGTGTGTGTATGAAAAGGAACAGAGCACAGTGCAATGGTTATCTATTATGTCTGCTGTAAATAATTATGTCCCCTTTCCATAGCCTTTTAATATATGGAGACAAATATTTAAAATAATGAAATTTGAGATACATTTTTGTCTGGAAGATTTTTTATAGCCACATGGGGAAAAGTTATTAGACCACTGGACCAGGAGCACAGTGCCATTCTAATAGCATCCGAGAATCAGAATTTAAGACAAAAATTACACCTTGTCTTCAATTCTGTCTTTCTTGTATTTTAATCACTTATTTTAAATGTTACTTATGGATCAGAACTGTACAGATTCTGTAAATATGACAAAAATGGTTTCTTTTTTTCTGTTTTTGTATAGAGAGATTACATGTGTTAAGACTACAATAATTTAATGAGACATTTCACAATACTTACGCTATTGAGAATACAGACACAGTGTGAAAATAAGTGCTAAGATATATTCTTCTGTCTCTTTGTACAAAACAGTGTTGACTAAAAACAAAATAAAAGGGAGATATCTCAAGCCTCATAGTCCTTCTGTGCTTTTCCATACATCTCCAGCGAGAATCTGAGAGGAAATGGTGACACTCTTTTTTTTTCATCATGTGCCATATATGTATGAATCTCACTTGGTTTTCAGTTGTTATTATGTGAAATGTGTTTCTTGTGTATGTGCCCCTTTGCGCAGATTTGATATTACACTGACTGTTCAACACAAGCTTAGGTTTGCTTCGTGACATAACGTACGTACATGAAACGTGAATGAGAGCTTATTAGCCAGTGGTGTTGCCCTGGATACGTCTGGTTCACTGCATCATGAACAAACTGCAAGCAAATACTGATTTCACTGAATTTCTCTCTCTTTTCTGTATCTATCGATTCATGTCAAACATATTCTGATTATTGATTCCCCTATGAAAGTGCTGTGTTTAATCATAAGGACGTCGTACATGCTGTTGATTTTAAAACCATTTGCAATTCAATATTTCACAAACCTACTCTTTCTATTCCTGTCTCACTCCCCCACTCTCTTTTTCATTCCCTTTTCTCTCTCTCTCTCTCTTTCTCTCACATGCTTTCTTCAAGCAGCCAATCACAGAATACATTGCAACACATGTAACTATTTCTTGACAATTAACTGTTACCTAGCAACTGGACCTTTAGAGAAAGACAGAAACAGAGAGAGAGAGACAGAGGGAGGAAGATAGAGAGAGAAAAAGACAGATTTGTGTAGTATGCTGTGTCTTGGTTTGGTGCTACAACATACACAGATATGCAACACCCCCACACGAGTCCATGGAGACAGGGAGAAAAAAGACGAAGAGAGCTAAACGCAAGCAGGGAAGTAGAAGGAAGGATTGACAGGTACACAGATAGAGGGAGTCGTGAATGGAAAGATTAAGGAAAGTAATTAGTAAGAGACGACAAGTCGCAGCCTTCACTTTCATTTAAAGAAAGACCGATAACAGACGCTCGTTTACGTGAGTTGCTAGACGTATTTATGTTCATACGTACCAATATTCTGTCACATGTCCTCACCAGAAAATATGCCCACTTTAAGTATGAAGCGATATTGGTGAACGTCTCAAGTCCTGTGTTGACCAAAAACGGTGGCCCACAGATTTCAAGCGCTCACTCCTGTCAAAGTAGCGAGCGGTGAACTAACCGACACAACACTGCCACCATGTGGCGGGAGTTACATAACACCCCAGATTCATCTTGATCACAGCTGAAGGAATAGCTGTGCGATGGTTTGTATTTTCAGCTGTTAAAATTACACCACTATGATTGTGACTGTTACATAAGAGCACAAAAAAGTCCATAATCTGTTCTAGATAGCATGCATTGAGTTACATTATAAGCGATTGGGTTCCTCAATGCAGACGTGCATATTTAGTACTCAGTATTATTTGGGGAAATGGATGTCATTAGTGAGCTGCATACTGCTGCTCTCTATTAGAGAGTGTGAAAGTGCATATGTGAGTGATATTTAGTAATTATGCTTTTTTTGTATGCAGG